ATGATGGAATGGTAGGACTATGATAGTGCTGCTGGGTGGAGAGCTCACACCCAGGAGGGGCTGAGGTTAGACATCAGGAAGGACTTTGCTGATTTCACTTGGGCAAGATGATATGAGAGGTCAATGTCCCAGGAGGCTTGGGATCCCCAAGGGTGTGAAAAGAGAAAACAAGGGTTGTCTTGTGTCCAAAATAGGGGAGGAAGGTGGACCACATTGGCATTATGGTGCTACATGATGCCTTGTATTTTTCTGTTCCCTTCACTGCCTGGGAACTCTCAAAGGGGGAGGAGGGAGAAAGAGAAATATAATTATATTTACCTAGTGCTTTGCAGCTTACAGAATATTTTTCCATCCTTTAACCTTTCAGATTCAGTTTTCTGGAGTAAAATGAGCAGAGTAATAGTCATCACTTTATAGGGTTATTGGGAGATCAGATTAGACCATGTAAGACAGTGAGTACAGGGGTGGCTGGCCCAAGTAACGTAGTTACTATCTCAGTGAATAACAAGTTTCACGACCGGGACGGTTGTCAGGGCAAGTGTCACTATCCCTGCCTTACAAATGAGTGGGGCCGCGACGGAACGAGTCTGGCTCAAGGTTACCCGGACACGGGGCAGTGGCGTGGATCTGACACGCAGTCTGGCCATCACCCGCCAGGACGCAAAAGCGCAGAGCAGTGGGGCCATGCTCCCGCTAGGGGGCGCGCGGGCCGGGTGACGTCACCCGCTCAGCTCCTTGCTGCGGGATGGGGCAGGGGCTTAGCCCTCGTCGCCCCTCTCGCCGCCCCTAGTCCCACGGTTCCCGGCTCTCCGCGGGGCTGAGGGACCCACGTGGTGGTTCATGGTGGAAATACCTGGAGTACAGGAAATGAGGCTTGGGTCTCCAAGCTTCCGGGGACTGGAGGTGCGCGGGAGAGGAATGAACGCAGGGGGGAAGGAGCGGCGAATCGCCTAGGTGGGGGAACGTGGGGTGCGGGGAGGGCCATCCTGAGGCTCATCCTGGTAACTGATGGTGCCACGTAGCTCTGGGGACCTCACCTTCTGTATCTATGCTCTCCTGCACACTTAATTTCCTTAAGTCCACACATATATTGTCATCCCCTTGTAAGGACGAGGAGGAGGGGCGTAGGGGAGGAGTGACTAATCCGGGATCACAGCTGGTACCCGGCAAGCCCAGGAGAAAGGACAGAGGCCTTCATGGGGCCCTGCTGACTCACACTTAGCAGCCACCCTGCAGTCTGGAGCCAGAGCGCCAACTTTGCTCACTTCCAGCGAGCACCAGGACTGTCAAGTTTGCAGAGGGCTCTGAGTGGGCGCGTCCTCTGCCTGAGAGCATCTACACAGCAAGCCAGGTTATACCGAGATGGGCTGGAGGAGCCCAGCCAGAACACAGGCCCATTGATGAGGCTGGGGCCAGGGGAGTTGGGCTCTGCCAGTTTCCACCCTCAGTGCCAATCTGCCCCAGGAAACAGTTGGTGCCCAAGGGTTTGCAGGGGACACTGCCAAATGGCCTCCCAGTCAGATCTGCTGGCTGACCTCCTGGGGACTGCCACTCTTCCTGTGTGTGTGAAGACTTGGCTTCCAGGCAGCGCCTGCCGGACAAACAGGCCTATTTTAAGGTGACATCCATTTTGAATGACTATCAAAGTTTAACTCTAAACTTTAATTCGGGGCCAGGCGTGGTGGCTCCCGCCTGTAATCCCAGCACTTTGGGAGGTCGAGGGGGTGGATCACGAGGTCAGGAGTTTGAGACCAGTCTGGCCAACATGGTGAAACCCCACCTCTACTAAAAATACAAAAAATAGCCAGACATGGTGGTGCACCCCTATAATCCCATCTACTCAGGAGGCTGAGGCAGAAGAATCAATTGAACCTGGGAGGCAGAGGCTGCAGTAAGCTGAGATTGCACCACTGCACTCCAGCCTGGGTGACAGAGACTCTGTCTCAAAAAACAAACAAACAGAAGGCTGGGCATGGTGGCTCCCGCTTGTAATCCCAGCACTTTGGGAGGCCGAGGTGGGCGGATCATGTCGGGTCAGGAGTTTGAGACCAACTTGGCCAACATGGTAAAACCCCATCTCTACTAATAATACAAAAATTCACCAGGTATGGTGGCACACTCCTGTAATCCTAGCTACTAGAGAGGCTGAAGCAGAAGAATCACTTGAACCTGGAAGGTGTAGGTTACAGTGAGCCAAGATCATGCCATTGCACTCCAGCCTGGGCAACAAGAGCGAAACTCTGACTCAGAACAAAACAAAACTTTAATTGGGGTTCTCCTGTCACATGCTCCTTCTGGCCCTGGCTTTATATTGCCTCCACCAGAATCTTTCCATACTCGCCTCAAAGAATAGATACACAGATACATTCTGACTCATAGATTATACCTGAGGCTTCATTTCTATTTGCCAGGATGGCTGATTTACCACGGCTCTTAGCTTTTCAAGTGTTTAAGGCTCCAACATTTTACCATAAAAGATTAAACAAGACGAACATTCCTGTGTTGCAATGGCAGCCACTCCAGGGACAGCAGCTGAATATTGACTGTTTTGAGCAGAAATGTGACATGGAAGGAAGATGAAAACCAGAAGCAAGTCACGGCAGCCAGGGATATTTGGTGGATTTTCATGCTCAGCCCGCTCTACCTTATAGGCAGCAAGGTGCTAGCAGGAAAGTGGTGAGGACCCAGGGGAGGCCCCTGCTCCCCAAAGGGCAGGGGCCTGCAGAGCGCCCACTTGGGGTCGGGAGCCATCCCTGCAGCTGGGTGGGCAGGAGACCTAGGAGCTGCTTTTCCTAACCTCACCCCTTCTAAGTTTCCCTGTGAAAAGAATTAGGTCAGGAGAATGAAAATGAAGAGACTGACATTTTTTAGCATTTGCGTTTTTAAATTTTGGGGAGAAAATATTCTAGTAATTTCCTTCAACATCAGCTGAAGGACAGGAAGGGAGAAAGGAACTGTATCCTACATGGGTTTTCCTCTCAAATCAGTGCTGGGGTCGAGGAACCTACTTAACATTCCCATCTCTATCCCAGGGGCACAATGGAGGCATGCTGCCACACAGCTGGAGTCGGGCATGTGAAGATTGTGGAGATGAATTCCACCTTGGGATAAGCACGTGCCATCAAGCCAATATTTGCCAAGTACCTCTGGGAGCCAGGTATAACATAGCTTGAAAAGCCAAAACAGGAGTAAAAAATAGGCCATAACCTCAAAAACATGACAGTCTCATAGCTGGAGTAAAATAAGAATATGATAGAAGACAAGTCACAAAGTTATGAAAGCTCTGAGGTGCAAAAAAAATTGCACAAACTGGCTGTCGGTGGTGATCAGAAAACACTCAGGACACAGGCGCATGCTCCAGAGAGCAGGCAGCACCCAACAGATTTGGTTTCAGATTTTTTTTTTTTTTTTTTAAGACAGAATCTTGCTCTATTGCCCAGGCTGGAGTGCAATGGTGCGATCTTGGCTCACTGCAACCTCCACCTCCCGGGTTCAAGCAATTCTCCTGCCTCAGCCTCCAGAGTAGCTGGGATTACAGGTGTGTGCCACCATGCCAAACTAATTTTTGTATTTTTACTGGAGACGGGGTTTCACTGTTTGGCCAGGCTGGTCTTGAACTCCTGACCTCGTGATCCACCCACCTCGGACTCCCAAAGTGCTGGGATTACAAGCGTGAGCCACCGCACCTGGTCTGCTTTCAGATTATTTTTGTGTCCATGTGTGGGATGGACTGGAAGAGACCTGGAAGGAAGTCCCAGTGGGCCAGGCAGGAGGTGGTAAAGCAACCTCAGGAAGACCTACAAGACTGTAAGGCGCTGCTGGTGCCAACGAAGCAAACCAATAGGGGCTTGGATACAAGGGGAGGACTGAGGATAAGAGCTCAGTTTGTATGTTCAGCTTGACTCACACTGCCCAACAGCACTGCAGACAGGGGGAAGGATACTCAGGGAACCCCTCAGCTTTTGAACCTGATCCAAAAGGAATGCTTTGTTTTCCAGCATGGCAGATACATACTGTGGTCTGACAAATGATTAATAGCATATAAACTTCAGTTCCAAGTGCATGGTATACTTAGCTACCCCATTAGGACTGCAGAGCTGATCAAAGAGCCTTCAAAATGCGCTAACAGCCCTTAATGAGGCCTGAAGCTCTCAATTAAATTAAACTCTTGTGAGAAAGGAAGCCTGAGCAAGGTGCCAACTCTGTAGCCATCTGCTGGTCAGGGCGAGTGAGCAGCCCAGGCTGAGAATTCGGGAATGCCTTCTGCTTTCCGGGAGGAGTCTGAGACACGTGGGTGGGTAGGGGGTGTGGATTATGGGGGTGCTGCACTGTGGCCAGAGCTCGGGTCCCACTTCCAGTCAGGAGATCATTCTTGAGATGGGGGTCCCACTGTAGGGCCCCTCCACTGAGACACTCCTAAAGTTCCACATCGACCCACTCCTCCCTAGGCCAGAGTTTGGGTTGAGAACGGGAGTGTTAGTTTCACCGTGCAGACACACAGGCCCCTTGTTCCCCAGGAAGTCTGGCAGGCTGAGCTTTGGTGTGAGGGCTGCGTGCCAGGTAGGGGAGAACCCTCAGGCCTCAATCTCTTCCTGCCTGGTGGTGTGGGAGTGCAGCCAGTAGCTGGCCAGTTTTGTAGAGTTCATTGCTGGGGCTGGGGACAGAGTGGAGGGGATGGCAATGAAGACAAAGGAAAGATGGGGTGCTATCTCCATCCTCTGTCCTCTGAAAGAATGAATGAAGCAGCAAAGAAAAACCTGTTCTTTCTCAGTGTTGGCTAACAGTCTTGGTATCCTGGTTCCAGGCCTGCCCTCCCCTGTGGTCCCAGTAGGGGGCATTGCAGCCCCTCTGAGGCCAGGACTACCCCTACCTTCCCCTTGGACCCAGGCCCAGTCCTGGCCAGGGCCCAGCTGGGTCATGCTCATCTCCCAGATTCAGGCTGCCAGCCCTCTACCCTCCCAGGGCATGAAGCCACGGATGGAGGACACAGGGAGCCATGAAGAAAAAAACAAAAAAGGTTTACTTTATCAGAGAGCCTCTGATGGCACCTGGTATCTGTCAAATATTTTAAAAAGGCAGTAACATGGCAACTGTACAGGGTGCATGATGGGTAGGAACTGGGCATGGGGAGCTGGGAGGGGGCATGGAGAGAACATGGGGCAGAAAGGAGGGAGGGGGCATCTCAGATCGGACCATACAGCGGCCAGACCCAGCTTCTAGCCACCCCTGGGACAGACAGACAGTCTGACAGACACAGACACAGACACACACACAGACACAGACACACACACACGTGTTCTCCGAGCGCAAGAGCCTCTGCTGGCCTGCACAAGGATCAGTCAGAGCTAAGTGTGGAGAAACTCAAGCAGATGCCGAGGCTGCACCCCATCCCTTGACTCTGAGCCCCAAGTCCACAATGTCCCTACTGTCCGTCCCACTGTCCCCAGGGCCTGGACATCTGGGCCCAGCACAAGCCGTGGAAAGCAGAAGTCAACTAGAAGAAAAAAACCTCCAAACCACTCGGGCCCACCCCTGGCAGAAGGAAGGGGCAGGAGTCAGAGAGGCAAGCAGTCCTTCTGTCCATCCTTGGTCACACAATCGCCCGGAACAGGAAGGAGAAGACAGCCCCCAGGGCCAGGCCCAGACACAGGAAGAAGGCCATGATGGCTCCTGCAGTCTCCGCCTCAGCTGGCTTTACTTTCCTGAGGGAGGAAGGAAGGGCAAGGCTACCTCAGAATGGTTATACCCAAGCCCAGAGCCTCTGGGTGGAAGGAGGGGTGGGGTGGGGCGACTTAACTGTGGGACCTCATTCAGCTGATCAACCCCTCCTAGCTGCCTAGCCCCAACCTGGCTTTTCCTCCTTGAGGGAATATATATGGTGGGGTTGTCTTCTGCAAGCCCCTCTCCTCCACCTCCATCCAAGTAAGCCTGGGCACCCCTCCACTATAGTCACTATCTTTTCAGCCTAGGAGCCCCTCCTGAGCCATCCCTTCTCTCAGCTCTGGGAGCAAGGACTCTCCTTTTGCCCTCCCTCTACTGAGTGTCCCCCACTGGAACTCTAGATCCTGTCTGATGCCACCAAGTTCCTTGCCCAGCCGCACTCACTTGGGCCCAAAGCACATGCAGAGGCTGGCGAGGTAGCCGTTGGAGAAGGCAAAGGCAGCCATGAAGGAGATGAACCAGGCGTCGTGCTCGAAGACCACAGTCAGGTAGCGGCGGGGCTTGATGTTACACAGCAGCAGCAGCGGCACAAACACCAGCCGGGCCAGCACCAGGCTTGGCAGCCAGCGGCTGTCCTTCCCAGGCTGTGGGCACCAGGCAGGGCCTCAGCCCAGGCCGCCATCCCAGGGCACAGCCAGGCCCCCAGGGAACCATTTGGGGCCCCTCTGGACCTGAACTGAAACCTCAAAGCCTGGTTCTTCTTAGGGGGTTAGTGCTTGAAAGGGGCACAGTGGAGGCTTCTAGAGTGCTAGAAATATTCTACATCTCGATCTGGGCAGGTATGCATGTATATATTCATTAAGTTGTACACTTAAGACTTGTACTTAGCTCTACATACATTATGCCTCGACTAAAATAAATGGTCCCCTTACCACTAGACTTTCTTGGGTTTCTTCTCTGGGTCTCAGGCTGGACTCTGACTTCCCCCAGGGGCCTGTGGCCCTCTTCCTCCACTTACCCACATGAATACAGCTGTGAGACTCCGGCCCAACCAGTCAAATATATTGAAAGTCAAGAAACAGGACACAGGAATGAAGTAATGTTCTGGAAGAGAAGATGAATGGGTGGTTATCAGGCTCAAAGAGGCAGGTATAACAAGCCTAACCTTCACTGGGCCTCAGCTTCCCCACCAATAAAATGGAGAAGATGCTTCCAGCCCAGGGAAGGGCAAAATGAACCCAGGAAATGGGGAGAAGGTGACCCAGGCTCCCTCTCTTCCCCACTTCTAGCCCAGCTCAAGATCCTGTCTGTTCCCATCCTGGGAACCTGTGGCATCCTCACCCCAGGCGCTGGTGCCTGCAATGCTGGACTTGACCTCAACAGCCACGGCTGGAAACATCCCAATGGTGATAGTGAAGATGAAGCAGACAGAGAAAGCCAGGACTGAGATCTAGATAGAAGGAGTAGAGTCACCCAGGCCCCTGTGTCTTCATGGTGGCTGTGCTTTAAAGAACCAGGAATCCCCACCACTGGCACTTGTGTATGGGCACACACACACACACACACACACACAAAAGAATCCAGGAGTGACCACTCTCAGGTCAGAAAAGGGGGAGATGGGTGGCAGGCGGAGGGAGCAAAAGGAGAGACACAGGACAGGGGTAGAGAGTAGGAGAACCTGCCCCACGTACATTTTTCAGGATGGCTTTGATAGAGTGGCTTTCGTTGGTGGCCTGAGAGTGGGAGACTGAAACTCCAGACTCCTCTTTGCCTGCTCTTGGCTCCTCTCCTGCAGGGTGACAGGTTGTGGAAGACTCTTCAAGTTGTGGGGAGGACAGAGCAACAGGAGACAACACAAACATTCCCCAAAGGGACTGGGATTATTTGGAGGTAGACGCCTCCCTAACCAGTCCCAGCCATACCCTAACCCTAACCCTAACCCAGACCTCGCCTCCAAATCCCTATAGCTCAAGCCCCAGGGGCCTGGCCTCTCCCAGGAGCCTCAGGTCATGTTATTCCTTGCTCAAGAATCTGAAATCGCTTCCCACTGCCTTTAGTCCAAACACCTCGGGCATTCAAGGTATCCAGCATCTGTCCCCATTTTATCTTTGCTGGCCCTGATTTCCTATTGTCCCCTCTCCCCACCCCAGTCCTTTGGTCCTCCTCTGGCTCAGGGCTGCCAGCTAACACAGTGCACTCATCCTTGTCCTCTTTGCTCATGCTGTCCCCCCTCGGTATACCATCCTCCACCCCAGCTTCCTCAGGCTCTTCGGACCTTTGCTAATGAGGTCCAACTTGGTCTCCTGCTCCCCGGGCCCTTCGAGCTTGAGCTGCTGGTAGTAGCGGTAGAATTCCTATCAAGTAAGGAAGATGGGGGAGGTGGATTCAGAGGCAGAATCTCCAGAATCCTAGCCTCCCCCAGGTTCTGGCCTCAGAATACCCTTGGTCTGGAACCCTAGACCCCTATATCCCAAACCCCAGCTCCCTCCGTTTGCTCACCAGGCGGGGCAGGCCCAGGTAACAGATGATGTTCAAAATGATGACCGCGCAGGCTGTGATAAAGTAACCGAAGGCACTTTCTGATAGCTCCGAGCCACCTGGAGTGGTATCAGTGATCAGATACAGGCCCCATCCCCTCTCCCCGCCACACCAGGGCACTGGGCAGGTGGACAGCAGGACTTACTGGCAATAGCGCAGATCATGGCCACGGAAGCGAAGAAGCCTGCTAGGCCCTGGCCACTCATGATGGGGGCTGTGTAGCTGGCAGGCAGGAGGCCAGCCAGACCGAACAGGCTGCCCTGCAGGATGGCACCAAATGCTGGGGAAACAGGGTGGGCATGAGCAGGGGAGCTAGGGCTGGCGGTTAGGGGTACCCAGGAAGACAGGTCCTTCTCATTCCTACTTTACTCCCAGTGAGTCTTGAGGCTAAGCTGCCCTTCTCTCTGCTCCCTCCCAGACCTGATCCAGGCCCACTCAGGCCTCTGAATCCCAACTGCTCACAGCATCCACTCCCTCCAGGTAGAGGGGTGGGCTCCTCTCTGGCTGACAGTGGGTCTGAAAGAAGAGTGGGGGTAGGTGGGCAGGCCTCCTCCCATAGGTCCCCTCGCAGCCCAGCTTACAATTAATGAGCATGATCTTGATCATGGTGATGACAAAGAAGGGCAGAGGATCCAGCTGCACCTTCACCAGGATGGCAGTGATCAGGAACACCAGCAGGATGGCCACCAGGCTGCCCAGGATCCGTACAGACTGGGGGATCCTGCCAGGAGAGGCCAAAGGTGGCAGAGACAAGTGGGCAAGGCTGGGGGTCAGCCAAGGGACTGCAGGACGCAGTGTCAGAGGGTCAGGCTGGGGGCTGGGGAGGGGGTGGGCGCTCACCTCTGGTGCAGGAAGGAGTTGAGGCAGGTGAAGAGAAGCAGAGGCAGCATGGCACACAGGGTCATGACATTGTTGAAGATGGCACTGAGAGAGTTCCGCTCAGTCAAGGGTGCTGTGGGGGCGGCTGAGGCCTGGGCGTCCTTGCTGAGTTCAGCAGTGACCAAGGACACATTCTGGGGCATGTCCAGGCGGCTTGTGAAATACTGCAGGGGTTGCAGAGAGGCATGTTGAAATCTCTCTGCCTGTGCCTATGGGCACAGAGTCAGGTCCTGCAGGCACAGTGGACATACCCCCTGGAGCCCAGTCCCTCCGGCCTCACCTGAGTGGCTGTCATGAAAAAATTCCACGGGAGCAGCGTTCCCAGACCAAGCATGAAGAAGATAAGCCAGACACCTTTGTATCTGCAATGGAGGAGGAGAGAGGGGCCAAGTGACGCACTACCCTGCCCCCTCCACGATGAGCCCCAGGGAACCCCGTCTGTTGTCAGTCTCTCTAGGTCCCGGGGCACAGGGCACCTGTGTTCACGTCCATGTGCATGTGTCCTCTTATGGGTATGGGTGGAGTGGAGAGAAAAGGGCACATGGTCCATTGGAATTTGGGGTGGGGAGGGGGCCAGGGTCAAAGGACTGAATGGAATGGCTGACAGGACCATGGTTCTCATCCCTGGAAGGCTCGGGGGACCCTGCAGGGTGGGAACCAGGGTGACCCACACATCCGGAGATGGTTTTGGAACTCCTGCTGAAGGGCTGGGGCAGGCGGATGAGTGAGAAAGCAAACAGCAAGCGTCTTCCACCCCCACCAGGCAGGCTGGAAATAATTATGCTGTCTGGTCAGGGACTGTGTGAATCCCTAAAGAGGATTCTGAGGTCGAGAAACTCCCATACTATTCTGGACCTAGAGGGACAGGTCGGCAGGGTGCCTCAGGGCAGCTGTGAAGCGAGGGTGTTAGAGCTGCTTTCTCCCTGGCCAAACAGAACTTTGTAGTTCACATCACCCAGGCCAGGCCAGGAGGTATGGGGCCACTGGAGGTCATCTGGGCCTCAGGGTGTAAATGAGGGCTGCCCACCTTTGGCCAGGGAAATGCCCCAAGCCCTACACCCCAAGGCCCTTCCAGGTCAGGCCAGCTTCTCCCAGGTAGGCCTTGTCTGAAAGCTGAGCAACCCCAGTGGGCCCATGGAGATCTCCAGATGGGTTTGCACATCCTCCCTAGAGCCAACACCAGCTCTCTTCAGCGATGGCAGAGATAAAGCCCAAGGCAGTGAGAAGGCAGGCCTGGCCAGAGTGCAGGAGCCTGGACCGCTGGCAGGCCTCACACAGGGATAGTGTGGTAAGCCCCCCATGTGAACAGTCTGGGTTAATGCCAGCTGCAGCCCCCCAACCTCCTCACATACACGCTTCCCTTGGAGAAGCTAAAGGCTTGGTTCGGAGCCCCAGAGTGGAAGGAAAAACTCCCAAAGTCATACAGGACAGAGGATCGGGGTGGGGGTGGCACTGGGAGATGAGCGAGCTGTGTGACAAGGCAAATGGAGACGGCGAGGGCTTCAGGGAACGGCCGGCAGGAGTGTGGAGGTAAGGACAGAGTGGTCAGGCAGCCTGGGAATGGAGGACAGAGGCACGGGAGCACCCTGGGGCCTGTACTTACTGCCGTGCCTCCTTAAATTCCGTCACTTCTAGATCCACTTCCTGAGATGTGGATACTTTTAGCTCCATTTTACAGGTGGGAAATGGTCCCAGAGAGATGAAGCTACGTGCTCAAGGCCCCCACAGGCACAAGTGGCCTAGTTTCAGAGCCTTTGGCATGGGAGGGAGATGGGGTGGGTAGGGCAGACGTGATGGGTTTCAGGGGCCTGAGCTGGAGGGAAAGACAGAGCCTGACTCTTGGAAGGAGTTTGGGATCTTAGGCATCACCTCCTTCAGCCTTCTTGGGTCCCAGATCCCTTTGAGAAATTGAATTAAGCTATAGCCTCTTCTTTCAAAACACATATTCACAGTCATAACTGCAAGTCTAACTTGATTGGGAGTTCACAAGCTCCAGAGGTGGGGAATTGAGAGGAAGATCAGACTAAGAACCAGGGCGGGCCAGGTCATCTAAGGCAGAGGCCCCACGGCAGTTCTGCCAGAAGTGAGCTGAAAGGAGGGGCACAGCCAAGTATCTCCCCACAGTGGTGGCGGGAGGAGCCGGAAGCCGCTGACTGGCTGGAGAGCAACAGTGGAAACACTGACAGGCCAGGGAGGGACTGCTGCCCACCCACCCTGCCCTCCCCGAAGACACGCCCGCCAGGACCCAGCCAAGGCACACGGGGTCCCCATTCCTGATGCAGACCTGACTCATAGCTACCTGGCTGGAAGGCCAGCCAGCAGTGGCAACCCTCAATTTCAAAGGACACTGCACCCAGCTCCCTGAAAACCCATTCCCTGGATCCACAGCCCAGCCCCCTACCCCTTACCTGTCCTGAGGCTGGTGACTGGTTGTCATGGCGATGGTGTTCTCGGTTTTGTCTGGCTGACAGCTCCCTCCCTCAGGGGCCTGCTGGGGGCAGGAACAGTGTGAGGCCCTGTCTTTGCCCTGCCACAGGCCTCCTCAGGCTCTTAGGGTGAGAGGGGGCAGGGCTGACAGAACAGGCCAGCCGCAGAGTCCACCAGGAACCCCTCTGGACCACTCAACTTGACCCCCATCCAGCCCCCTGGCCCAGCAGGCCAGTCCTGCACGGCCCCTCTGCCTGCTCAGGCTCTACCTGGCTCCCGGCCTGGCCGCTGCCACCGCTATTTTTATCCAGCAGGCGAAGCAGTTTATAAGCTGGGAAACAGGAGGGTGGAGAGCAGGAGGGAAGGAGGAGGAAGGATGATGAGAGGGAGGGAAAGACAGTCAAAGAAAGCAGGGAAGAGGACGAGAGGGGTCAGGGACAGTGATGACAAAGGAAGGAGGGAAAGGAATGGAGGAGACACAGCAAAGAGGTCGGGGGAGGAGGAGGAAGGACACAGCAGGCAGAGCTGCAGCAGCCACAACAGTGACGATGACTGAGGCCAAGCCAGAGGCTCCCCACGTCCCTCTCCGCAAGTCTGGTCTCTCCATGCTCCCTGGGAGGCCCTTGATTGATGGCTAGAGTGGGGTTGTCGTCTCCTGGAGGCACCCCAGATTCCAGCCTCTCTGCTGGTGGCACCTTAACCTGCCCAGGTGCTTCCTAGTTGCTGGCTGGTTTTCCAGGAAAATATTTCATAATGGATGTGGGGGAACAGCCCTTCCCACAGCCTAGCCGGGCCCCTCTCCATCCCCCAAGCCCTGACCCCAGGGTCACCTAGTACTCCCTTAGTTCCTCTGGGTCACGGGCTCCTGTCCACTTACCCTTGCCGAAAGTGACCTTGAAAAGATTAGAGGGGTGAATCCCAAAGCTCCTATCCTTCTCCCTCAGTGTCCCTCTCCTGCTCCTCATTTGTGTAGGGGGAGACCCCCTGGCACCAGATTAACCAGCTTTCCCATTGGCTGGCATGGGAAGCCAGGCAGATGTGTGCTGGCACATCTCCCACACTCAGGCCTAGCTGGCCCAGGCCTTGCTGTTTTGGGTGTAAGGACAGCTTCCCCTTCTTCCCCTTCTGGGAACTCACCGGGTGCCCAGACTGGCCAGCAGAAGGGTTGGACCAGATTGGGCCTGGGAAGTCCCTAGGAGGTGCTCCTAGTTCAGGATCAGGCAGCGGGCCTTGTCCACGGGCTCCTGGGTTCGGTTCCAGAATGAAAAAGGTGGCACAGGGCGTATCAGGAGAGAATCCCTCAAGCTTCACAGGGCCCCATTCTGAGAAGCCTTGCAAGCAAAGAAGCAGAAGCACACCCAGGAGATAAAAAGCCACCGCTGTAGCTCAGGAGATAAGAGAACAGGGAGTCTCAGCAGGGGAGCTCTTGCAGGTACAGCAACGCTTCAGGCTCCACTCAGACAAACAGAGGCAGCTGGGTGCCCTGAGACCCTCATGGGCTTTCCCACCTCCCCATAGCTCCTCTCAACCCTCCCCAGAGAAACTCCAAGCTCTCAGAGGTCTTTCTCGGCCCCTTGGCCCACACACCTCCAGATGGAGGCAGAAGGATTCCTCCAATCACCCCTTCAAAAATATTTACTGAGGACCTCTGCATGCCAGCCAGGCACTGTCCTAGGCACCAGAGTGGTGAATAGTCACATTTAAATTTTCTAGAGGGATGGAGGCAAGAGGTCATTACTAGGGTGGGGGTGGGGAAAGGCTCAGGGCTCAGGTTTTCTATCAGGTAGGAGGGACCCTTCCTCTAGGTTCTTACCTCATACCCGCATGTCCTGTACTCCGCTCCCACCCCACAGGCAAGGTTCCCAGCAAGTTAAGACCGGGTGCAGCTTCAAACCAGATGAGGGACTGAGGCGGGGGATCAGCTCCCTTTCTCCTGGGTAAAACTGGCTTAGGCCAGTTTTCTTAGAGAAGAAGTATGTATTTCCGCCCTCTCCCCCAGCAACATCCCTGCTCTCTCTGTTCTCAGGAGCCCCCATCCCAGTCTTGGGCACAATTCAACTCCACGGGCAGCCCTCTCCTCCTACCCATATCCTAACATTCAGCTGGCCAGCCTTCGTGTTTTGCTCGTCTGCCTTTGGTCAGCGGCAACCAGGAATCTGACACCAGCTCAGAGCATCTGGTGTCCCTCGAGCCATGCTTTGGCCTGCTGAGGTGAAAGCAGCCACCAAACTGAGTACCTCCCTGCCCAGACTCCCAGCACCTCTCCTGCAGTTCTCCACTCCCAGGATCTCATACGGGTCCAGCCACTACCTGCAGGTCTCTCATCTTTTCCTCACAACCACGCATAAGCCAGTACTAGCACTAAACAGATGGGGCCAGCTGAGGTTCAGAGAGGTTGAGTCACTTGCCTGAGGTCACAGAGCTCAAGAGTGGAGGAGCTAGGATCTAAATTCAACGTTCAAGTTATTCTAGGCTCTTTTGGGGATGGAGAGAGAGGTATAACAGCTGCTTCTTAGCTAAGCCTGTAGACTGGGAGGTAGGGGGAACTCTGATCCAACTAAAGGGAAAAATGAGGTGGAGACCAGGCTCATTCCCAGCCCGACTTGAGTGTCAGGTACCTCAGCCTCATCCCATCACACACATTCTGGCATGGGGAGTTACACAAGCAGAAGGAAAGTTGGAGGGTCTGGAGAGGAGTAGGCTACCGAGAGGGGCAGGCAAAGGGACGACCGCGCTGGAGAGAGACCTCTAGAGGTGTGAAGGCAAGGTTGGAGCCAGCCTTGACCTACGAATGCTCTCTCCTGGTAAGCAAAGCCGAGGTGTGTGTGTCTTCGCCCTCTCATTTACTCTCACAGTAAATCAGTAAATGATTTCCTTCCTCCAGGAAGGAGACGCCAGGGACACGAGTTTGGCCAGTAAAAGCCCGGGGTTAAAGACACAGCCCCGCATCTCAGCTCGCGAGCCTCCATCCCCATCCCCCTCCACCTCCGCCAGCTCAGTCAGCAGGCGGCCCCTCCCTGATACCGACCAGATCGCTCGGGATCACCCGTCCACTCGCCTGCCCCCTGCAGAGGTCACCATGACGGCAGCCTGTTTTAGGCCCAGGAGACAGGCCACCCAGCCCCGCTTGGGTCCCGGTCCCCGCAGGGTCCTCCGGCTCCCGGGCCCGTGCGCGCCACGTGCTGCGCGGCTCCGCACGCTCCACCCTAGGGCCCCACCGGCGTCCCTCCTACGGGCTGCAGATAACGCCTGTCCTCCCGGCCCTCAAGGCAGGCGAGCAGCGGCAACGCGCCCCTGCCGTCCCCAGTCCCCCGCCCCAGGCAGCACCTGCCGGAGAAGCACTGCTCCCGCGCTGAGATCTGCGCTCTCCCTGCGCTCTTCCCGCGCCCGCCGGGGCACATTCAAACCCGCCCTCCGCTGGGCCCGCCCCAACCCGCTGCGGCCGCCACCTCCGCGACACCCGCGCGCGCGGCCCCGCCCCCTTCCCGCCCCCGCCACCCGCGGCGCCCCCTCGCCCTCTGCGACCCCACCCCGAGCCCCTGCGCCCCCAGGGCCGCATGGTCGTGTTATTTCAGTAGATAGGACCTCTCTGGGCCCTGCCATACCAAGGCTGTCCATCGTGTGGGGCACATGGGGCTGGAGGGTACAGCCCCACATTGGGGACCTGCGCAAACTCCCATGAAAATCTATCTCGGGACTGTTCCATCTACACACCCGCTGCTCAGACCGGCTCCGACGCCCCCCGTGGCCCACTCCACCTCAGAGGTTCCGGATCCCTCCCCAAGCCCCGCCCACGCCGCGCTTCCTCCACTGCACCTTTTTCCTCCCAGCGCGCTCCCTTTCAACTCCCCCTTCTTTCTTTCAGGCCCCCTCCTCTTCTTTTCCTTCAAAACTGCTTCTGTCCCCACCTCCCCTGTTCTGTGACCAGCATGACGGGTTTTCCCATCTCTGACACATCCAGTCCCAGCCACAGACGTGCAAACACCACACCACCCACAACTTTGACTTGGAGGGGGTGTGTGGCTCTGCCTTGTGCTTGTGTTTACGCGGAGGGGGACGGGGCACAGCCTTGCAGCCCCCTCATAATTCACCCTTTCTAAATCCAGCACTTTGGAAAACCGAGGCACAGCTGGAGATGGGAAGAGAAAACGCCAGGAACAGCCTTACATCCTGAGTGAATCCTATTGTCCCAGTTGGAGATACTCCTGAGAGGCAGAAGCGTTGCTGAGCACGTGCTTCACTAGTATGTGGAAGGGGTGGGCATGCTGAGGGGTGGTCCAGCGCATTTCTCCAAGGGAGGGGGAAGGAGGCCCTTTTCTTGGTTGGGCAGTAAATGGCGTGGGGTGGGGGGTATTCCCTGCCCTTCCAGCACCACTCAGTGCTGGAGGATGATCCAAAGGCTGGAAAGGTCCTGAGGAGAAAATCCAACCCACTCTGTCCACCCCAAGCCCACTGACCAGAAGGGCTTGTTTCCTAAAGAAGCCCCAGACACTGATTAACAACTAGCAGTACTCACATCATAAGGATAAGGTAGTCCTACCCTGTCCCCAGAGAAACAGGACCCTAAGGAGAGAGGTAGCTTTTCTACTTAGGGTCAGTGGCTCTCCCCAAGCTGCTCCAGAATGGGTGTCCCCAGCCTTCTGTTTCCATGCCCCACAGAGATGACACATATTCCTTCCCAACCCTCCCCTACATCCCCCCATTCCCGCCAGCCCTAACCAGAGGGCAGGAAGATGAATCTCAGTGGTATTTTTCTAGGCACTGCCCCATGACTTGAGAGTGGCTTCATGTCTGTCCACGGCCCCCGAATTCCCGCCCTCATGTTTGTCCAGTCTCTCTCTCTTCCTCTCCTAGCCCTCCTCTCCCCTCTGCTTTGACCCCCTCCTCGCTCCCCACCTTACTTTCCTGGTTTCTTAGTCTGTGGGGGTGGCAGGCCTAGTGGTCAGAAGATCTGCCAGGCATGACCAGGCTGGGGGCCAGTGGCCGCAATTGTGCACAAAGGAGGTTGGGGGTGGAAGAAAACTGAAGGGAAGTGGTGAGGGTCCCAGGCCAGACTAGGGAAGGCTGTTCCTTTCCCCACCCACACTGGGTCCCTGCTGGCTTGGCTGATGGCAACAGCCAGGGCTGTTATTGTTGGAGAGAAGTCCATCTGGCATGCGCCCTGCTGGGCTCCTAGCCAGCACCCACACCCCTCTGTAGCCACCTCCCAAGCAGAGGAGGTTGCTGGGTGCCGGGGCCCCCTGCTGGACAGCCCTGGGAGCCCTAACTCACAAGGGCCTTGCCTGGAGTTTTTCTAGGCAGGCCTTGCCAGATCTCTTCACCCTCTGCCTGGTCTTCTTGCCTCTCTCCCTCGCTGAGCTCCCTCAGGTCCCTGTTGAAGGGGTGCAGTGGGAAGGGTTGGTCCTGCTGCACCCCTGCTCTCCACTTTATCCACCACCCTATATGGGACGGTGGCTTGCCCCAGACTCCCTCCCCGACTTGGCAGGCCCCAAGCATGCCTCACCATCTCACACACAGTCCTCTCTCTCCCCAGGCCTGTGTCCTCTCAGCTGTCACCAACAAGCCATCTGTGTTTGCTGGAGGTGTGTTTGCTTGGCCTGGGGCTTGGTAACCAGCACATGGCTCATGACTATGTTCTCAGTTGTTTTTGTGACTTTGTCTCCATGGTCTTGTGACAGGGCTGGGTCTGGGTAGAGGCCAGTGAGGCACTTGCCAGAGACATAAAATGTAATAGGGAGCCACAAAACTCATTAATCAAGATAAATTTTAGGCCAGGAGTGGTGGCTCATGCCTGAAATCTCAGCACTTTAGCAGGCCGAGATGGGAGGATCGCTTGAGCTGAGGAGTTCAAGATCAGCCTGGGCAACATAGTGAGACCCCATCTCTACAAAAAAATTAAAGTAAATTAGCCAGACATGGTGGTTCGTGCCTGTTGTCCCAGCTACTCCAGAGGCTGAGGTGGGAGGATCACCAGAGCCCGGGAGGTTGAGGCTGCAGTGAGCCATCATCTTGCCATTGCATTCCAGCATGGGCAACAGAGTGAAACCTTGTCTCAAAAAAAAAAAAAAAATAAAAAAAAAAAAAAAAAAAAAAAAAAAAAAAAAAAAAAATATATATATATATATATATATATATATAAAATTGTCAATTGTCCTGCTATAAAAAAAGATAAATATTTTGTGACCAAGATAAGTTTTAATGCAATGTCTACGAATCAAGGCTCACATCTGTCATCCCAGCACTTTGGGAGGCTGAGGTGGAAGAATCACTTGAGCTTAGGAGTTCAAGACTCGCCTGGGCAACATAGGAAGACTCTGTCTCTTCCAAAAAAAAAAAAAAAAAAATTAGCCGAACATGTTGACGCACACCTGTGGTCCCGGCACGTTGGGAGGCTGAGGCAAGAGGATCGCTGGAGGATGGCTTGGGTCCATGAGGTCGAGGCTGCAGTGAGCTGTGATCGCACCACTGCCCTCCAGCCTGAGCAACAGAGCAAGACTTTTTTTTTTTTTTTTAAGACTCCATGATGAATAAAACACTAAAATTCTAAGTAAAGACAGGTGTGTTCACAGGGTGGGTACTGGATCGGGGTTCAGAAAGACTTAATTGTTTGTTCAGCTAGATCTGGGCTGCTCTTCTAGCTTAATTTCCCAGACCTCTTCTCCCTACCCTATGTTCCCGGGTCATCTGTAAGGGGTTGGGGGAGTTCGGGGAGGCAGTCATCTAATATGGCCTTCGAAGTCCTGGAAAAGTAGCCCCGCATCCAGAAACCAAAGATTCCGACTCCTCTGAGACGCCATAGCCCAGCAGGTTCCCCTACCAGCCGCCCGTCCCGCAGGGCAGCGTGAGAACAGCGCAGACCTCGCCCCCACCCCACCCAGCCAGGCCCCCCGCCGCCCCGCCCCGCCCCACGCACCTGCTGAGACTTTGGAGCGGGCATCCGGACTTGGCGGGGGACGGAAATTCCCAGGCCCGGGGGCCCCTTGCTCTCTCCCTCCTCATCTCGGGGCTGGGGCCATAACACACGGCTGGAGGGCGCAGCCCGTGCCGGACCTGACCGGTGCGTACTGCCGGGCGGAAGAGCGGCTGCCACAGGCGACCCCAGCGCCCACTCGGCGCTCCGCAGCCGGCTCCTTCCAGCCCTCGCGGCTCAGGGGCGGGGAGACCGGAGCCGACTCAGTGGGAGGGGCCCGTCGGGCTTGGACTCGCGGCCCGCGCATTTGGGCACCCGAGGCTTCGGAAAGGGACGAGGTTAGGGGCCGAGGGCCTCGGACCCCCTTCTCCTTGCCCCTCCCCCTAGGTCGCCTTCCTGTGACCCGGGAGCAAGTGCAGTGGCTTTGAGGGCTCCCGAAGGAAGCCGATGGGGAGGGGTGGGGAGGGACGGCGTTCGGTAGGCAGGAAGCCCCGCAGGGCTGGGGGTGGGGTGCACAGCTCGGGGCTCACTTCTTCCCCAACCCAGGCCTCTGACGGGTGTGGGGAGGGGACGAGGATCCTGACTGGGACCTGTGCTCCTCACTGTCCTCCTCGGGACCTAGATAGAGCCCAACGCTCACCCAGAGAGGGAGGATTATTGCCTAGGAACAATAAACAAATTATCTGGAGGCTGGGATGCAAATGTCTCTAACTCTTATTTGACCCCTGAAGGGCCTCCCACTGGGGAGGAGGACATAATGAAGCCAGTTCGTAAGATCACTCACACACCCCTAGTCACTTCTAGGGTGGGGTGACCCTCAAGGGCATGCATTTCTACACTGCCTCCCTGGGTGGCCTCCCACCCAGTCTCTTAGCAAACAGATCACCTTGTTCCCACCACCGCTAGCTGAGAAATCCTTAAACTCTCTGGAGGGCATTTTCTTCCCTACAGTGAGCTAGCCAGCCAAACTTCCTCCTAGATACACTTGAGCCATTTCTGGGTCACAGTGTGACATACTGACCGAAACTAAGGGGAAACAACTTCCAGGCTGTGAGGACTGAGACCACAATACAATAGGTGGCAAAATAAAGCCTTGTTTGATCGTCCGTCTCTCCTCTCCCCCACCCCCACCAGGTGCCAGGCCAGGTTAAACTTTTGCAGGGCCACAGTCTGGGTGATTAGACTTTCAAAGGCATAGAAAGAATTCAAATCAAATATTTATTGAGCACTTGCTGAGTGCTGGGCTTTGCGGGCAGATCAGCCTCCATAGGGAACCCAGATATTCTTTTAAGGTAGGTCCTGAGTCTGGAAGACAGTCTGGATTCAAACCTTGCCTCTCTGCTAAATTGTCACTTGTCCCTCAGTTAAGCATTGGGAACCTTGACGTTCTCATTTGCAGGGAGGGCAGGGGTAGGTGGGTGTTATTTCCTCTCCCACCTAAGGGCAGAGGTGATTAGGAGTGGTCTTTGGGAAGAACTGCTGGAGGAGAGGGGCAATGGTCAGTTTTCTGCTAGATGCAAGGCATTCTTCTAGAAAGACATTTCTGTTGAGAGTGGAGAGGCCTGTCTGCGGCAGATCCCTCTCACGCACAGCCCTTACTATATCTTCTTTCCACCAGGCAGCCTTCGGTCAGTGCTGGTGCCAGGATTATCCTACTCCAAAATCAAGTATTTTGAGGGGTACAGCTGCTGTCAGGACTTGTAGCCTCACTTTTGTGGGCCTAACCTCTCCCTCCTCTCTGGGCGGTCCACTCTTGAGGTCTCCCCAGCATCTGGCGAGTGTCGCTGGCTGAGAATGAACAGCAGACAGCCCAGCAAAGCCTCTCTCACGTCTTGGGAGCCCAGGTGCCGGGCCAATCCGCGCAGCAGGGGCAGGAGGTACTGGCGGGCCAGGCGGGCAGCAGGCAGCAGCAGGCGGGACAGCAGCAATCGCAGCAGCAGCGGGAGCAGCGGCGCAGGCATGGCAGGGTTCAGTGAGTCAGTGCCTGGGGAGACAACACAGGCTTTAGGCTTGAGTGTCCTGCTTTCATCTCACCTGGCAAGGACAGGGGGTGAGCAGGAGTTCCCCCTCCCTTCAGTTTACACCTTCGTGCTCCTGACCTTAATAGAGAGGTCAATTTTGCTTTCACGGAGCCCTTTCTCTTGGCAAAGTAGCTGGGGCAGGAAGGTTCTCACCATGGCATAGACGAGGAGAATGAACCAAGGCAAGAGTGAACCAAGACCTACGGCTTGCCATTCCCAGCTTCCAGGCATTCCTACGGCTCCCTGGCCCCTCCCTTCCTCTAGTTGCCCCCTCCTCCGGCACAACCTCCATCCGCCTGGTATTCCCTAACCCTTCTCCCTCAGTCTAGCAGGAGTTCTTCTCCAGGCAGTTTTTTTTTTTTTTTTTTTTTTTTTGAGACGGAGTCTCACTCTGTCACCCAGGCTGGAGAGCAATAATGCAGTCTCAGCTCACTGCAACCACTGCCTCCCAGGCTCAAGCGATTGTCCTGCCTTGGCCTCCCCAGTATCTGGGACTACAGGCACACACCCACACCATGCCTGGCCAATTTTTGTATTTTTAGTAGAGACGGGGGTTTCACCATGTTGGCAAGGCTGGTCTCAAACTCCTGACCTCAGGTAATCCACCCACCTTGGCCTCCCAAAGTGCTGGGATTACAGGCCTGAGCCACCTCGCCCGGCCTTCTCCAGGCAATTCTAATTCTTTTTGCGGGGGGAGGGGCTCCTAATCCACCCTGACCTGACACTCCCTGACCTCCCAGTCCTCTATCCCCACCGGTCCCTGGCAGCTCTCACCCGGCAGAACTGCTGCTCAGAATCAGTCTCTGGCTGGATTTGCCTGGAATAGAGATAGCCCCAACTGGATTCAACATGGGGGTAGCCCCGCCCAGCTCATGCCCACCAATTACAGCCTGCCTGGGTGGGGGAACAATGAAGAGACAGCTGTGTTCTGGCACCTGGTACATTGAGGAGAGCGGGCAGCTGGCTGGCCGCCTCTTCTAGTCTAGGAGGAGGAGAGGGCAGGGAACATATGCAGGATTTTCCTCTGAGTTGGAACCCAGACTGCACTTCCTTCCTTTTTTTCTTTTTTTTCAGAGTTTTGCTCTTGTTGCCCAGGCTAGAGTGCAATGGTGCAATCTCAGCTCACTGCAACCTCTGCCTCCTGGGGTCAAGCGATTCTCCTACCTCAGCCTCCCAAGTAACTGGGATCACAGGCGTGTGCCACCACGCCCGGCTATTTTTTTTGTACTTTTAGTAGAGACGGGGTTTTACCATGTTGGTCAGGCTAGTCTGGAACTCCTGAGCTCAAGTGATCTACCCACCTTGGCCTCCCAAAGTGCTGGAATTACAGGCCTGAGCCAGCGCACCCTGCCTAGACGGCACTTTCCAATTGTGTTTCTTTAAGCATGTTGACTCTTCTGGGCTCCAGTCCTCTCCGCTGTACCCTCAGTAACTGGGAGTAACTAGAAGGAGTAACTGGAACAGGACAGTATATGAGACCCACTTGCCTAAACCTCAGAAGCAGTGAGTCTGCAGCCTGAACACACACCTGAACACCAGGCATGCTCACAGTGGAAGACTAGGACCCCAGCGGGCCCCTGTGGGCCCTCTCCTGGGGAAGAAAAGTAGAGACAGTCTCTCGTAGCTGGGCACAGCTGGACATAGCTCGGCGGCATTCCCCCTCAGGGAAAAGAAGAGGGATGCCTACTTCAAGATCATCTTCTCCACCTGCTTTTCCCCCCTCAGATTAAATGAGATTCTATGAGATAGCTGGGTATATTTCTTTGGGTTTATAGCCTGGGCTTTATGTTGTTTTTTTATTTATTTTTATATTTTGAGACCAAGTCTCACTCTGTTGCCCAGGCTGGAGTGCAGTGGCATGATCTTGGCTCACTGCAACCTCCACCTCCCAGGTTCAAACAATTCTCCTTCGATCAAGACAGTTGAAGGAAGAAAAAAGAAAAAAAAAATTCTCCTGCCTCAGCCTCCAAAGTAGCTGGGATTACAGGCATCCACCACCACGACCGGCAATTTTTGTATTTTTAGTAGAGATGGAGTTTCACCATGTTAGCCAGGCTGCTCTCAAACTCCTGACTTCAGGTGATCCATCTGCCTAGGCCTCCCAAAGTGCTAGTATTACAGGTGTGAGCCATTGCACCTGGCCTGTTTTTTGTTTTTATTTATTTTACTTATTTTTTTTTTTGAGACAAGGTCTCATTCTGTCACCCAGGTTGGAGTGCCATGGCATGATCATGTCTCACTGCAGCCTCAACCTCACAGGATCAAGTGATCCACCTTAGTCTCCCGAGTAGCTGGGACCACAGGCAGGCTCTACCAAACCCGGTTTCTTTTAAAAATTTATCTTGTAGAGACAGGGGTCTCACTGTGTTGCCCAAGCTGGTCTCGACCTCCTGGGCTCAAGAGATCCTCCCACCTTTGCCTCCCAAAGTGCTGGGATTACAGGTGTGAGCCACTGTGCTCAGCCTATTTTGTTTTTTAAATACCTACCTCATTCTTCTACTTCATAAATTAAGTAGATCAGATGAGATACTGTCCATGAAGTGTTTTGTATACCTCAAAGCCTTGGGAATATGAGCATTTGTCATCAGCCCCACCACCAGCTGCCATTAATATCATCGTCTCCATCAGCATGTCAGACCTTAAAGAAAGAAAACTTATAAGGTCGAAAACGCCTGTCCCACTTCTATGCAAAGGAAGCAGAGGAGAGGAGCAAGAAAATATAGACTTATAGGCAGAGTCTTCCTTTCCTTCCACTTGCTTCCTGAGGAGGTATGATGACCATGTGCTATCCTAGGGCTGTGGGTGACATGTACTTTGGGTGCACACATATGCCAAGCTTCTGAGTTCAGGATCTCACTCAGTTCTCACCACTAGCCAGACACAGTGGCTCATACTTGTAATACCAGCACTTTGGGAGACTGAGGCAGGCAGATCATTTGAGGTCAGGAGTTCAAGACCAGCCTGGCCAACATGATGAAACCCCATCTCTACTAAAAATACAAAATTAGCCAGGCGTGGTGGTGTGCACCTGTAGTCCCAGCTATTCAGGAGGCTGAGGCAGGAGAATTGCTTAAACGCGCAAGATAAAGGTGGCTGTGAGCCAAGACTGCACTGCTGCACTCCAGCCTGGGCAACAGAATGAGACTCCGTCTCAAAAAAAAAAAAAAAAATTCTCACCACCACCCTGCAGGGGAGCAATTAGGAAACTGAGGTTCAGGGTGGTTAAGCAACTCACCTAAAGCCTCACAGCGTATAAATGGCCTGATCTTCCTCTAGACCTGCTCCTTCCCTATGCTTTCCCATCTCTAAGTGACAATTTATGTCTTTTTAGTTACTTTGGCCAAAATCTTAGAAGTTATTCTTGACTCCTCTCTTCCTATTATAGATCACTACCCACATTAGCCAATCCTG